GGATATCCCTGTCTCTGTGCGAGTTTGTTTGTGTCCTCGTCTTTGCTTTATTCTGTTTTATTTTGTCTTTTGTTTTGTTTTTTACTGGCACGTACCCCCGCCCCTTCCTTTGGCCGTCGACCTGCCTCCATGTAGTGGGAGGCTACCCCCCCAGGCTGGTGGTGCGGCCGTTCCACTAGTCTAATTATTTATTTTATTTTATTTTATTTGTTTCTGATTATATTTTGTTTTCTTGTATTTTATCGCTCTGCTGACCCTTGGGGTCCATTTTATTTTGGTATACCTTTCTAGGTACGTTAGCCTGTGACCACGGAAATTGGCCGAGTCAAGTCTGGATTAGTACGGAGAGATTGAGACATAAGGAGGTACTGGATAGAGAGACCGGGATGGTTTTTAATGTGAAGACAACAACAACAACAACCTCCCGATCTGGTAGAAGCACGAGCTGGTTTATGCTACAGCAGTGTTCCCACCGGTCACGTGGGAGGGGGGGGTTGGACCCCCTCCTTCCCTCGCGACTTGTGAAGTCGATCAGGTTTGTTTACAAACAACGCTTTTTTTTTTCTCCCATCATCGGCTGTCGTCCGCCCCTCTGGCCCCTATCCTCCACTTCTACTAGCTAGACGACCCAACCGGGATCACATAGGAGGGGGGGCTGGACCCCTTCCTGCGGTTCCTGCCTAAGGTATTTTTATCGCGAGAAGGGTACAGCAATCCGTTCCCTCGCGACTTACGAAGTCGATTATGGTTTACTAACACCATATTTTTTTTTTGTATGGGGGACGGTTCGCTTCTGGGTGACCCTTCTGGGCGGCAAGGGCGGCATGGTGCGCGGTATTGGAATCTGGATGGGCATGCACACTATATGCATATGCGTAGATAGGTAGCCGCGGAGCGTCGGCCAGACTACAGCAGTAGAGCGGCATGCTGGTTCCGTCCGGGTTAGCTCAATAATGCAAAGTATGCCCAAGAATACCTAAAGACTATTGAGAGGACAAGCAGCAGCCGACACGCGCCGCAGGGCACACACACACCTGGCCCGTCAGCAGCCGCTCGAGCTCCCTAACCCTGGAGCGGTCCTCGGCAAATTCGACCAAAGGGGCAGAGTGGATGAACCCCAACCTTGTCATCTCTTCCGTGTCCGCGCGCGCCCGTCGAGTGCTGGCTGGGTTGACGCCACCTGGATAGGGTGTGGAGAAGGAGGGGGCTTTCGCGGTAGCTGGGCACCCGTGGGGTAGTCTGTTTTGTCGGGACGTTGGCTCGTATTCCGAGGAACGACTCGAAGAACAGGTGAGATGGTACGGCGTCGTTCGGTGTTGGGGGACTGTGTCCTGCCAGCCTGCGGACCGTCAAAAGAAAGTTACTTTGGACTCGCTGGCCCTTGTAACTTTTGTGGCTTGTGGTGGGTTGTGGCCGTTTCTGTGTGGTGGCGTTGTGTCGTTGCGCCGCATATCGCGATGTGTCGGGTGTCGGGCTGGGCTGTTGCTAGCGCGAGCGGCGGTAGGGAGCTCTGCGTGATCGAACAGTGCAACAGTAGTCTAAGCTGCATATAATCAGGAGACACTCTCAGAGCAGAAGGTCTTGAGAGAGCGAGCGAGTGTAAGAGAGGGAGTAGAGGGAGGTGAGGGAAAGCGAGATCGAGAGAGAGATTTTGCTTCTCGATCCTCGAGACGCTGTGGACTGTCGGCCTCTGAATGGGACCATTCCTGTCCACGTGTGGTGCACATGTGCAAGAGTTTCTGTGTATACGTACGTGCCATCATGGTGTGGCGTGCAGTGAGCGTAAGGGGTACCAGCCGCTTGACGGGGGGAGGCGTTCGTTACGGTTCGACGAAGATTGCGGAGCTGCCGTTAATTTTGATGCGCGACATTGATACTCAATACTCAAAATATACTATACATATACAATTATACAATATACAAACTATTAGGAGAAACGAATATACACACAGAAAGACTAGCACTATGTGGCATTGCTGTAATGTACAATACCATTGTCGTTACCTGGCGTGTTTTCACGCACGGATCTTTTCAACCATTGACAACATCCTCCGCACGTGCAAACACGCCACCTCTTGGCGATTTGTTCCGCCGCTTGAAATGCAGCAGCACATGGTCTCCGCGGGGACCAGGGCAAGCAGGAAAAACACATAACTCGTGTCTTCTGTGTCGCAATGCCCAATCAACATTGTGTTGCGCGAAGCACTCGAAACAATTGAACACACGACGCAGTGCCACCGAGCATGGCAAGCAACAAGATCGATATACACGAAGCTGCAGGAGATGGAAACCTGGCCGAGGTAAGAGCCTTCCTGAAAGCCGGGGGCATCGTGGACAAGAGAGATTCCGATCGATGGACCCCGCTGATGCTGTCGGTCAGAGAGGGACACCTTGAGGTGGCTAGACAGCTGCTCCGAAGTGGGGCGGCGCTGGAGGCGAAAGACGGGGATAAGTGGACTGCGATGCACATTGCCGCTGCCAACGGTCAATTGCAGTGCTGCCAGCTGTTGCTGGACCGAGGGGGAAACCCTAGGGCCGTCGACGAGAACAGGCGCACGCCGCTTCATTGGGCTACAAGGTATTTCCGCTGAGCCAGGACCGCTCTGATGTAGATGTTGCACCCGTCCGTAGATTGACCGTTGTTGTTGTTTGCTACACCCGAACGAGGCGAACTAACATGAATCGATGTTTGTAATTTTGAAATGCAGCAGCCAACTCATGCTCGTGAGAAAATCTAAAATTGTAGTCCCACGGCAGTATCAACTCCAGCGACCTCCATCCCATTTCGAAAGTGCAAGGAAGCGACCGCAGAACGAAGGTTGGAGGAGGTGCGAGTGTGTGTATACATGTAGCATCCAACAGAGTTTTCGGCTGGTTAACTGAACGCAGCGACACAGCAGAGACGCTGACTGAGTACAATCTGCTGAAGATATTAGCAAGTTTGGTGAGGCAGATATAGCCGATGTAGACTACTGTTTATTGAAACGGTCGAATTTGCCAGAGGCGTTATTGTTCCTGTATTTCGGGGTATCAGGTTGAGAAGAGTCCTTTTGGGATGGTCACTTTATCGGAGAGTTCACGTGCAGGAGAAGGCTCGCTGGACAGCGTGGAATAGCAGATTTATACAACAGCAGTACGTGAACTCAGAGAGGGATAGCAAGGATTGGCCAGATTGGGAGGCCAAGAAGTTGCGTTCTT